AACTGACTAAACAGATAGCTGTGTTTTTTCAGAACAGAATCAGATGGATGCAACATATAAAAGTATGTAGACCAAACTTTTGTATGACAACTTTGGCTTTTATTTATACTGGATCTAAAAAACCATGCCAAGGTAGTAACTTTAGAGACAATGGATCTCTAGCCACGGGTGGACAGTAAATTGCACAGTAAATTGCAGAATTCTTTTTAGTGACTATACTGCTCCTAGTGGTTTAGACTGAAATATTATCAGTTATCTAGTATATCAATAATTGGTAAATTGATGCAAAAAATGTGCATAAGAAATTAAAACATAAAAGTGTTTTTAGACTCTGTGTAGAAATACAGGAATTATGTGACTATACCAGAAAAGGTATTTGGTGTTTCACATGAAGATACTGCAAAAGTGCCTCACTTTAAAGAGCAGACTTGATGATGCTGCATACAGTTGTTATAGTGAAAATTCCTATTTTAAAGCATATTGAACATGCTAGTCTCTCCTTTTTTAAAGAGTCAGAGATTACACCAAGAGAGCTAATTTTTATGTGAACTGGGCCAAGGATTTCTGATTTCAAGTACTAAAAATCAGCAGCCTTGCAGGACTACTCTGTAACTCCAGAAAGGCTTGTTGTAAGATGCTTTGATTGTTGATACCCAGATCCAAGGAGCATCAAAGTCATGAAAAGGTCTTCATTAGGTTTAACGTACTTTAAGGCAAAACAGCAGTTATTAGACTAGAAAGAAGCGTTGACTGATCTGATTTTCTGTTAGCTTGCAAAAGTATATCTGTCAATGATTTATAAACTCTTCAGCAAGAGAAAAAGGGATGAGTGTATAAAAAGTTCAAACAAATTTGAACAAAAAAATATTTCTCATAAAAGTATGCAAAAGTGCATATCCGATAAGGTGGTTAAGTGTGCATGCTGATTTGTTGTCATTGCTGTCATCTACAGGCTCTGTGGTGGTCTCAAAATAGTTTCAAATGTGAGAGGACTGAAGTGGTTGGTCATTTCCCATGGGTTACTGAGGGAATTCCAACCACTTCCTAAATGTCAGTCACTTCAGAAGCTGCTATAAACAAAGGCATCCATGTGCACATGCAATCTAGCAGGCTTTCCTTACATCATTTATCAAAATGCTCCTCACCTATGTTGTGTTAGAGGCTGGATGTCAGTTGTGTGTCAGCTGAGGAGATGTAAAAACCGAAACAGGATGTGTGTTCAAAATGTGACTCCTGCTTTAGTGCAGTCACGAGCAGTATCATCTTTCCAAGTAAATACAAAGCAATTCTGTATAGTGCTTTTGTGTGATGGACATACAGCCTGCTCAGAAGGTCTCTATTACACTGCTCACCAGATTCCTTCTAAGTTTTATTCATCTCTTCACCTGAGAGTTACTATCCAATTTTCACACGGGTCTTTTCTATCTCTCCTTGGTTCAAAATGACAAAAATGTTATCCTGCCTTGTGATTTGCTACTTTTGGTAGAATACACTTACAGGATTTCTTCTTTTCTTCTGTTTTACACATGGGTAGTTACAGTATAGTTATTTCCTGCTTTACATCACTATGAAGTGAGAGAAATACTAGACTGGGGCTATGAAAGTCATGCCTCATACAACACTAGGCACATTCTAAACCAGCTAAAACTGGTTGGGAATTTTTTTGTAATACTTTTTTTTTTTTTCCCCCTTTAAGAAATGTTAGTTTGTCAAGGGTTTTCTATTTTGAAATAAAATAAAACCTGGTTTTCTGCTAGCTCAGTGGGCAGGTTTGGATCCCGGAATTGTGGGGGTGGCCTGGGGGCCCTTGGAAAAAGTTCTCCTTGGCTCCCACATTTCCTGCTGTAGTTCCAAACATGTAGGAAACAGCACTCAGCTCTCAGCTCTGCAGAGGGCAGCCTGGGAACCTGCAAAATGTCCTTTTGGCTGAGATCTGCAGGCTTCCTTCTGCAAAATTGAACAGTATCCCTTTTCCACATTTTCCAAGGCCTTTAAATCTCACCCTCAGCTCGGGAATTGAGAGATGTTCAGAAGCCAACAGGGATGTTTGAGCTTCTTACAGAATTGGTGTTACAGCTGTAGTTATGAGAGAGATCATGAATAATCAGAAGTAGAGAGGAAAAGGAAGCTGAGTTAAACCAGAAAGGGCTTCTGAGCTTAGAAGATGAAGATATTAATCCAGTTTATTTAAAAACAATTTTTTTGAAGTGGTTATTTCAAAGCAATTTTTCCTCTTAGGCAAGGCTTTTCAAAATTATCTTTTTGACACTACAGATATGGAATTTTGTGAAGCAGAAAATCTCCTTTTTAACAGCTCTGCTCCTAGTGACAGGAGACTGTGTTCATCTTCTCAGCCAATGCCACACTAGAGCTCTGTTGATAAAGCCTGAACCCTGAGCAGATGATTTTTCTTTGTTACAGTACTTTACTTCCCAGGTGACTGGGCCATGTATTCACCACCTTTTTTCCTAAGGCTCACTCTAGGTAGTTCTTGACATGAACCTATCAACAGCCAGCTGCAGTGATGATTGGGAGAAATTATGGGTTAACATGTATTTCAAGAGGAATGTACTCCAGTACCCAGAGATTTCCTCTTTTTTGCAGGTGCTAACTTGAGTTCAATATTTCAACAGTGAGCACATGACCACTAAACTCCTTTTCAGAGAAAAGATAACTGCTAACACTTTATTTTTTGTTTTATAAAACACTTCAATAAACTTATTCTCTGCCATAAACAAATAAACTAGGAGAACTGGTGTTCCATTTACTTTTTGGTCAGAACATTAAGTTTTTTGGCTCATATATCACTTTCTAAAAATCCACTGATGTGTAGGCATAGCTACAAGTTTAGCTAAAGATCTGAGCTGGAGGAATTAAACAGGTGATTGCTCACCATTTGTCAAGAATATTATTATGTGAACATCACTTCCATGAGACTTCCATGCAGCCAACAGCGTAAGTGCACCTTGAACATATATAAATATGAACATATATAAATATGAACATATATAAATATGAACATATATAAATATGAAGTGGCATATACAGTGGTATTTGGCCAGCAAATACAGAGAGGGATCTAGTGTGATGCATAAAAAATTCAGAGTAACATCACCATTCTAGGGAGGCAGTTTATTAAATATAATGCTTTGTCAGTGAAAACCTTCCACAAAAACTTTACTTCATCCTCTGGAGCTCTGAGTAGGGCATCTGCTTGTACTGCATGAAATGTTAACTTCTGTCCTGACACCAGGGTTTGCATCAGTGTCCCTCATCTCTTAGACTGAATTTTTTTCAAACTGGAAACAAGTTCAATAGTTTGTTCTGTCAAATTAATCCAAGTATAATCTATTGCAGTATTGCAGCCTCTGCTTGCCTTTCTTGCACTGCTGCTATGCTGATGCCAGAGAGCTTGTTCTCATCTAAGTGGGGAGAAATAAGCCTATTGCACTAATGAGGAAGACCCATAAATCCATCTGTTTCTCAAAGCTAGTTCATCTTCTGGTCCCATGCTTCAGAGAAAGAAGAATGGCAGATTAAAAATTGGCATTCTGCAGAGGATATCCAAAGTCAATAGATGGACTTTAATTTTTAAAGGTAAAAGTCTAATACTGATAATGGCTGGCTCCTCAGTTTCTGGAATGTTATGAAAACCATAAAATCAGTTGAGCCTATGTAATTAATCTGTTTTAAGGTTGTTGTCTAGGAATGGAATGGGAATATCTTCAAAATTTTCTTCCAAAATTAACTGACCTTTCATAGCAGGTTCATATCCACGGTTTTGGAAGTAAGAAAGTAAAACTTTTCAAAAAAACAAACAAAAAAACCCCCTAAAAACCAAGAAACAACAACAACAACAAAAACCCTCACCCAACAAGCAAAAAACCACACCCAAACCCCCTCACACATGGCTACATCCTCACTAGGTAAAAATTTACATGGTAAATGTAAATTTGAGTTAAATGAAGCTCTGAAAATCTGTGGAAGTTCAGAACTGGGCTCAGTAAATTGCAGTCTCTGTAATGGGCTTATATGTACATCAGTATCTCTGTTGTTATCCCCACTTTGTTTATTTTCTTGGTAGTTCTGATATGGCTTTGTATATTAATGAAGAATATTATGAGGTTCATCTTTGAGGAAGATTATTTTGTATATAATCAGGGAAAAAAAAGCTGCATAAATATTCTTCCTAATGAAATGGTAGGCAAGATCATACTGGAGTTCATAATCAACAACGACACTAAAAAGATTCTATCATTCCTTTTTTGGGGGGGGGCTCACTGCACCTTTAACCTTAAAATTGTAAATGCTATGAAATTAGTAATGACAGGTTTTGAATCAGAAAAATGAACCATATCTAGTTGGACCACAAAATATCTGGAGTGTTGGAAGGCTGGCATTATCGAAAGAAAAACAGATTTTTTTTTAAGTCGTTTTAATCACATCAGTCATGTTGCAGCAAGGAATGCAAATATTCATATACTACAGATTGAGGCTGCTCTGAAATGTTCTGACAATCTGTTAGGTTTTGAGTGATGTTTCAACCCTATCACTTGGGTTTTTTTTGTTTGGTTTGGTTTTCTGTTTTTTGTTTTTTTTCTGTATGACTATAAAAAACACTACTCATCTCTGTCACATGCTGCACAGGATAAAAAGCCTTTCAGTTTTCTTAACAAGAATCAGACGGCCAGGGTGCTGCTGGAACGCAGAGAATATGCCACTGTCTGTTCAAAGTACAGCTTAATGAGCCAGACTAAACACACTGGACAATAGAGCTGTGGGGGGAAAGGGCTTCTCGTGGCTCTGTGGATCAGCTGCAGCTTTAACATCTAACTAGTTTCATTTTTCATCTTTGCAAGTTCCATTTCCCTGTTTTGTTGGTATAAACTGCATTTCAATGAGCGGACTTTCCTGCCTAGGTGATGGTATGGTGTGCTTTGAAAAAGGATGTTGTGGATTATGCTAGGAATAATTTCTGTGTTTCTTTTTCTCTTTCATAGTCACGACCTATTCCCTCACACCTTACTTCAGCAGTTGCAGAGAGTATCCTGGCTTCCGCCTGTGAGAGTGAAAGCAGAAATGCTGCAAAAAGGATGCGGTTGGATAGACAGCAGGTACTGTGTTGTTTGGGGGTCTACCACATCCATATTTATAAATGCACTGGACTCATTTACATAGGATGCCATGCAGAAGGGTGGTGCAGTGCCTTATAAGCTTCTTGCTACCAAGATTAATTAAAATAAAAAAGCTGTAGTTTTTTTAATGAATACACAAGCATGTCTTTGTCTATATTTACATAAGCTGTGTGAGGGTGTCTAGTATATTTGTAATGTCCAGCTAAATAAAGCTGTATATTTACTTTTTGATGGCTGTAGATTTTCAGAGCATAAAAATGTGTAATCTCTAAACTGGTATTAAAAAGAGCAGAACATAGAGTGGATATAATGTACATAAATAATAGAACTGGTGCATGTGTCCATGAATCTGTGTATTTACTTGTGCATATATTATCTTTCAAAAAGTGTATGCATTTTAAATTTATGGTGAAATAGTGTTAGTGACTAAAATACCTATTTGCCTGAAACAGAGAAGTTACTGTGCTCTATAGCAAAATGATGTCAAATAACTTACTAGTAAGTTTTTAAAGCTCATATGTTTTTTTCCTTGTGTGATTATTCACCTTTTGTAGTGCATGCTACAATTTTATTACCTTTAATTTTCTGGAAATTGCATGTTTTCTTTTAGTTTTTTTAAAATCCAACTGGTAGTTCATTCCAGGCTTTGATTATTTACACAGATACAGTGAATCTCTAACATTTATTATAAAGACTATTATGCTTTATTTCTCTTCATGATTGCAACAAAGTAAAAATCTTAGTGATATCTCATGTGTTCCAAAATGTCCTTCTGTCATGGCAGATGAACTTTTATTTTGTGGAATAGAACAATTTTTAAAAGAACATTTTCCTTTTATGCATAGTCCATTGAGTTCTTTCAGGTCATGCCCTAACTGTATAAAGGATTACTACTGTTATACTTATAAAATTGATATTTTAGGATCTGAGAGTGTATGTTGCTATTTCTTTATGGGGTGATATTTTTTGCTAGTATTTTCATTATTGTGCTACATATGCCTTAAGATTTACAAATCACAGGGGATGTCAAAGCACTGTAATATTAAATATAATTTAGTTTAGAAGCAGTGCTCATTCAGATTGTGCAAGTTTTATATTCTCTCATTTGCTCTCTGATTTTTCAGTAATAATGAAAAGAAAAGCTACAAAGTCAATGGGTTCTTATCCCAAGGGAAACTAGAAATGACTTGCACAAACATCAGTTACTTGCATTGCACACACCTAATGGCTCAATTCCTTGGTCCAGCCAGGATGAGGCAGAGTTTTCAAGTGATTTAAGTGAGAGTCCCATAATGCTTTTCAGGGAGCCAGAGACCTGTTGAAACAAAAATTAATATTTAAACTCTAGTCAGAACTCAAAAAATCATATTAATAGGATTTTATTTTTTTCCTTTTATTTGTAGTATTACTATCACAGAAGAATCTGGTAACATCTTTGGGGGGAGAGGCATTTCTTTACTTTTCATTACAGAATTAAAAATCTGTCGTCAGAATATCTCCCAGCTGAGCACCTTAATTGCAACTGTGATGTTAAAGTAGCAAAGCTGCCTATGAACAACGGGTATTGGGTTCTGCTTCCTTCAGCTCTTCCCCCTTTTTGCCAGTGAGTTATGGGAACACAGTGGAGTTGCAAATAGCACCAGCCATTTGATTCAGCAAGCAGTAAATTAGCTGAGCTGATGCAGCTTTGGTGCTTGCAAAACTACTTGTGAATTCAGGACAGATATGCTGATGGATATGCTGAACATGCTGGAAAAAAATACAGCAGTGTGTGTTAGGTAGCTTCATAAAACTTAGTGAGAAATTCACCCTTCAGGGTGGAATAGACAAGTTATTAGAGAAGTAAAAAACCTTGCGTTTAGCCCCAGTTCCACTGAAATTTAATTATTTATTCTGAGGATATGAAATGAACAAAGTAGACTGAGCGCACAGCATTCCAGAATATTTCTGAGTGTGGTATTTAATGGACAATAGTGTGCTCAGCTCATATGCTGAGATGGGAACTGGATCTGTATCCTCACATCCAGAGAGTGTGACTAATAGGTAAGAGGGTTCTGTTTTGCTCCTCTTCCTATTTTTTGCTCTTAACTTCCTATTAAATTACCTTCATTTTTCTTAGACATATCTAAAATGTTATATTTTCATTAGATATTTTTTTTAAACAGAGAAAAGTTGGAAAAGCTCAGTTCATCATGTTGTTTTGTTGTTCCACAGCTCATAACTTAAAAAAAAAAAAAAAAAAAAAGTGCCTTGTTTTCCAAAAGTGGATGTTATATCACTGGGTAGACTCAAACTTTGAGGATGCCAGTAAAAATTTGGGAAGGAGAAAGGGAAAATAAGATAAATAAGATTTTGATGATGAAAATTACCACTTCATAAATTATATAAAGATATTTTTTAATTGAAGACAAGCATTAGACAGTCCGGGAAAGTAGATTGTCAAGAGGATCTGGCAAGAGCACTCACTCAGCACTTCCCCTCAGAGCTGAATGGAAGCATTGCATTAAGGCTGCTTTATTCTTGCATGTAGTACTGTGAAGTTCTGACTTTTGTCTTCCAGACAGGAGATCTGTCTCAAAGTGAGATGTGGCACTCATCAGTGCCATGCTCTAATTGATGTGGTGATGTTCTTGTGATAGGTTTGACTTGATGGTATCAGAAGGCTCTTCCAACCTAATTGATTCCATGGGTTCTGTGATTCTGTAATTTGTATCCACATCCCCACCTTTTTCAGAATATTGCCCATAAACAATAAATGAATTAAGAGCACAGTGGCCGTTATGACCAGTCCTGAAGCTAAGATAAAACTTTGCAGCCTCCTGAACTCCTTGTCTTGCTTATGCTCTATCCTTTTCTTCTCCAGTTTTCTTTCTCTCCCTGACACAACACATGCCTTGAGCAGGAAATTCTGAATATCTTGCATGTATGTCCCTTATGGAAGTCTCTGTTTATTAAAATGATATGAATTTCAAAATTAAATAGGATTTTGGCCTACAGTGTTAATTTTATCAGTGATTTGATGAAAAACCATCTCAATTATTGCTCAGCAAAAAGAAGCAACTTAAAAGTTAAAACTAGGGATGCTTTTAACACCTTTTTTTTTTTCAGTGTTGGCCACGCTCATGAGTATTTGCTGTTTCTTTCACAAGTATTAAATGTGAAGGGCTGGCTTTATATACCTACAATCACATGTGCCCATTTTTTTTCTCTTTGGAAGAAACCTCTCCTTATGTGTATGTGACTCTGCACACACAAATACTTCATCTTATTGATTACTTTCTACAAGTATTCCTGATAGCTGCAGTGGTTAATATAGCTCTGGGGACAGTGTTAAGTGTGCTAAAGTTAAGTCAGAGTAACAAAGAAACCATCCTTCAACCTATGTCTTAAATTCCACCTATATGATCTTTGTATTTCCTAATTCAAAGCTGAAAATTTCTGCCAGCAAAAATCCAATTTAAAAAATGAGTTAATGAAATCTGGTCTCATTGGCGACACTGACTTATTTTCAGTATTGTTTTTTTTCATGCCAGGAATTTATGTCTTAATGGGAAAATGAATGTTTTCTTCTCTTTCAGGAAACTAGTAATTTTCCATAGTTGTTGGGAACTGCAACAATAAAAGCATTGTCAGTTTGTGAGACTTCTCAAAAAAAAAAAAATGTATTTACTAGGGCTTGGTAGCTCAGACTGTAATGCTTTGGCTGTCTGACCATGTTAAATGTTACTCAAGTGCTCTCAAGCTCCAGTGCATTTTCATTATCTTGAGATCAAGCACTGTTTGGTTGGCCAGAAGCTTTAGCGTTGAGAAGTTACATATTTGATACCTATTACCCAACTGAAGAATCCTGTCACTTCCACTTTTAAATTCTGCCTGGTACCAAAAATAATTTATTCTCTTTTATAGATTTATATGTTGAAATTGTGTAGGTTTACTGGTAGTACTACTGAACAGTGAAATGCTTGTGACACTGGGCTAAATTTGGTTGATCTTTCACAGTAAAGATCAGGAAGATGGTAGAGAAGCAATGCAGAGATTTTGTGTCTCTCTTCAAATCACCTCTGTTGAGTCTGAATACAGAAAAAGAGTAACTCTTTTGAATTTTAAAGACTTTTTTGATCACAGTTGATGAAAAATTTAGAAACAATAACTGAATCCACCTTACATGATTTTGCTTCAGTTAGAGATAGAAGAGACATTACCTGAATACTTAAGATTTTCTGTGCTGCTTTGGATGTTCTCCTGGGATAATCTTTCAAGATCCTTATTACATCCCTAACAATATTTAGTAAGAAGCAGTTGCATTACGTGGAGATTCTGAACTACAATGAACAAGGGAATAATGAAACAAAAGAAGTAGAGCTAAAATACAACCCTATCCACTTGTATTCATTGCATATGGTGAACAATATAACCATTCTTTTGCCATGCTCCTCACTTTACAAACCAAACTGTGTCTTGATTGGGCAAAAGAAGAATGGTTAAATAAGGAGAATAATCTGGGAGAAGTCATCCTGTCATTATGTCCTGGGCAGTGAGCAGAGGGGAAGGATGCATTCTTTATGCACTCCAGAGACTTTGGTCATGTGGTTCAATTTGCTGTTGATCACAGAAATAGAAGTTTCGTTCTAAGAGCTGAACCATTGTCAGTCTCTGCTTCTTCCAAACAGATATAAGTGTGCTGTAGATTTTGTAAACCTTAATGTTAAACAGTGTGGATCAGGGCTGGGCAATGGGACTCTGGAGAAAGTGGAGCTGGATTAGTGTTGCTACTGTTCTGTTTGAAATAAAAAATAACCAAAAAATAATGAAAATTCTTCAAGGGAAGATGTAAGGGTAAATAGTAATTTATATACATTAGTATGCGAGAGGGCCTGCCTTTTTATTTTCCCTAAAGAAGATGAACTGGTGGAATCTATCTGTGGAAAAGCACATAAGAATGATAATAGGAAAAAATGCCCTCCCCTTCATTTGGACAC